AGTATTTAACAGTCTACGTTCCCAGACTCACTTTCTTGTTTACTTCCTTTATCTAGGCAAGGTAATCATGCACGACCCCTTTGCCATGCGCCCCTTCTTTGGCTACAACTTTGGCCAGTACCTCTCTCACTGGCTGTCCATGGCTGACCACCCTGGTGCCAAGCTGCCCAAGATCTTCCATGTCAACTGGTTCAGAAAGAGCCCCACAGCTGGTTTCCTCTGGCCTGGTTTTGGAGACAACATCCGTGTGTTGGACTGGATGTTCCGGCGAGTGAATGGCAATACTGGTGCCATGCCTTCTGCAGTGGGCTACTTACCCTGCTGCCATTCCCTGAATCTCCAAGGCCTAGAGGGGAAGGTGGATCTGAGTGAGCTGTTCTCCTTGGATCAGGAGTTCTGGCAGAAGGAAGTGGGGGAGGTGAGGAAGTATTTCACCACGCAAGTGAACGATGACCTGCCCAATGAGGTGGCCCGGCAGCTGGAGCTGTTGGAGCAGCGGGTGAGGCAGATGTGAAGAGGAACAGAGTGCAGTTTAGGTATTATAAATGGACACCAGAGGATGTTTAGCCTTCATGTGGCTGACATGTGCAAGTGCAATGTTTTCATCCTACTCTGTTTTTATTTAAAACTAAGTTATTTCAAACATTGACCCAGATTCATTGCCATATACCTGAATATATTTTTTGTTTGAACGCTCAGCTCTGTTCTGTTTATGTGGCTGTTTGTTGGCTTAATTTATTTTTATACAGTAATGGAAAGCCTTTTGTTCTCTTTATTGTAATCTGGGTCTCTAAAACAAGCAGCAATAAATGTGTTTAAAGCAAAAACTGTTTTTATTCATGATCTGAGTAATTTGCCGTGCAGTCGACATAACAGAAAATAACACAATCTTTTAAATGTTATTTGGTTTCATCGAGAAAACAGCTGAAGTGATGCGAAAGCAGAATATTCCAGAAATATGATCTGGTTAAATCAGATGAGACAGTGTACTGCTGACAGAATTATTAGATTTCAGTTTTACCACCATCCCTACACTGCCTTAAAGATGCAAAATAATCTTTTCTAAAATGGTGAATCTCCCAGAAAAAAGTGAATGCCTTTTTAATGTTGACATATAACAACAGAGCATTGTTTATACGCCAATAAGCAGATCTATGTTTAAGATTGCCAATAACCACAGTACAAGAATATTTAACTTTTGAAAATGTCAATATTATGTCTAAAACTGTATATTCTGTCCAACCCAGTAGCAGAAAAAAAATTACCTGTACTCCCGGCTGATGTAAATTGTCGTATTTGAATCTGCATTTCTCTCCACACGTCAACTTCCGGACATACATTAATTGAATGTGTTTAAAAAGTTTTTAAGCTGGATGAGTATCTAATTAATAATTTTCTGTACAAAAATAGAAAACTTTCAGCATAACATTTACATAGAATATTTCCAAGATAGTGTAAAAAAACAAACAAAAAACTCCCCGTATTAGAAGCATGAACATTAATAAAAACAATATTAAAATACTCATATTTTGCTTTTTTCACCGTAAGTCTACATTTTCCCACGTCCTCAGTTTGATAAGACTGTGGCAAAAAACCTTCACCCTAATATTCCACCATAGTCCACCTAATTTAAATCATCACTGCATGTTTCTTGAATTATTAACACATTTGAATGTTTTAATGTCATTAATTCAAACAAACTGATTATCTTCTTCCCTTTCTGGCTCGATTCAGATTAAATATTGAGACCGTGAAGGGGCTCATTCCCAAAGGTGCGAATTTACACATTTGCCTCAGCTAGAAACTGATGCTCTGTTT